CACACACACAAGCCCAACATACTTATACATCATCAGTACCTACTGTGATAGGTGAAAGACTGGAAGCATTCATGTCTTCAAATAAATAAAGACAAGCGTACATTGCTCTAGGTGAGGTAAAGTCACCCAGGCCCCTGAATGTTAATAGTTCTAGAATTTTTCTTGGCTTAGTTAGAATCACATCTTCTAAAAAGAAAATATAGCATGGCTTTGGGTTATATTTATGTGAATACTGTAAATAGAAGTAATTTTTAACGAAAAATTATGCAATACCTTGAACTGCTGTTCATATTTTCTGATACAACAGGCTATGAAGTGTGTAATGACAGAAATGTTTCTTTCAGTTTCTGTGCAGTGCTGGAAGGAAGTGAGAATGATATGAGGTTTGTGTACTGTGCTTCCTGCATCTGCTACATGCTCGATAACTGGTCAGGCATGGATGTGAAAAAAGCCATAGACTACATTAGAAGAAGTATGGTGAGCATTCACAAAGTGTTATTTCTTCCTACATTTTAAAGTTACTAGCCTTATTTCTTAACAATTACTAAAAAGCTCTCTGTCCAAATTGAAATAATTATGTTAGCTTCTTTCTTTTCTGTTCCTACTTTAAAAAGGTTGAAAATGTAAAAGTGCATTTATATTTTCATAGTAATCTGTGTACTAGCAAAATATTTTTTATTTGGTGTGTTTGTTCACTGCAAATTAAATCTGATCTTTTTGCTTTAAAACTCAATTTAAAGTTGCAAGCACATTTTTGAAAACTGGGGCTTGATGTTCCTATAACTTAGAAATTTAGAAATAAGTGTAGAAATCAAAGACTGCATCAATAAAATTCTTACATTTCAATGCGCTTTAGTTCTGCTTTTTAAATGATACGCAGAATCAAAGGAAAAACTAATTATTGACATCAGTGCAAGCTTAGTAAGTGTTGCCATGCATTTCATTATTTATTTATTAGATATTTAGAATGAAGGAAAATATTAGCATATACACCTTTTTTCCTGTGTCTCTGCGAGCTGTCTTCATATTTGGTTGGAGCAAAAGTGTTTTCAGTTTTTTTTCATGATGTTTTCATTAGTTTAATTGAGTTTAATTTTCCAAGATTAAAATAAATGTTTTTCAAAGAAGTTGATTAAGCTTGAAAACTAAGGATCCCTGAATATTACTAAACATACATAGTAAACTCTTCCTGTCCACGTAGAAGAGCCAAATTTATAATGGCATACAACTTATGTTATAAACCAGTACGGTTTAGTAGTTGCTGCCAGCAGTGAGATTGTAAAATTTAAGTGAGAAACAAGTCTAAAAAAGATTTGATTTCCTGCTTCAGACCAAATTGTTTTTTATTTTTTGTTTATTTTTTAATGAGGTAGATAGATAGATAGATAAGCATTTCTTGTTTTACATCACAGGAAGCTTTCTGGCATAATGCCATAGACTGGTTAGGAATATGATTTTCTTCATATGTTCTTTTTCAAAAAACTTCAAATCAATCTATTTCATATTTTGTGCGTTCGTTACATTAGCCTGAATACTATAATTAAGAGTTTGAAGAAAACTTTATAGTATCACACCTACAGTGCTTTGAATGTCTTTTAATATGTTTCTACTCTGCTTACTCCCCCACAACACCACTTATCAGGACAGGGAACAGAATAGGAAGAGCAAAAGCAAGAAAACTCACGGTTCAGTTAAAGACAGTTAGCTAAATGAAGAAAAGAGGAAAAAAACAAGTGATGCAAAGGCAATCGGTCACTCACCACCTCCCATGGGCAGATCGATGCCCAGCCAGTCTCCAAGCATCAGCCACCTTGAAAGACACCTCCCTTCTCCCGCCCCTTCTTCTTCTGCTACCCTAGTTTTATTGCTGGATAGCAGCAATTTTGTTTATAGAACATATGGAATAGCCTTTTGGCGAGCTGGTTTCAGCTGTCCTGTCTGTGTCCCCTTTCAGCTTCTTCACCTCCAGCCTGCTTGCTGAGGGATGGTGAAGTGCAAAAGAAGAAGCCTTGATGTTGTGCTTGGTGCTGCTAGTCCATCCAACAGCTGTCCCCTAGAGCCCGTGTCTCCCCCATTTCTGGCAGGTCAGCCTATGAGCCCCTGAGATTTGTGGTCCCACTCCACAAGTGGTACTCAGACCACTTGTCTTACCCACCGGCTGTTTGGGCCTAAAGCTTGCTGACATTCATGTACACACACACACACTCTCAGAATAGCTAGTGCATGTCCACAGGAGGTAGTTAAATATAGTACTTGGTAAGTCTTGGACTGACCGAGGTGATAAAGGGCAGGGCTCAGTTATACAAGTTATACTGATCAGCAGTCTGTCTACTCTCTACTAGCACCTTTTATCCCCTTTTTCTCTCTGTTTCCCCTTGCTTGTTCCTCCCCAGTCTGCTTTGATCTTTTCCTTTCTCAGCATTGGTCCTTTCCCTGGCCATTGCATAATTAGTTGTGCACACCCCTGCATTCCTCAGAAAACACCCCATAACAAGTTTTATGCAGCCCTAGAATTTTCTTCCCCTGCACCCTATAAGAGCCCCTGTACCTCAGTGGTTAGTAGCCCACTTTAGACAGCTTGGGTTTCCAGGGTGAGGAGATCCCCACTGAATCCTCTTGGTGGGTTTCACTGGGGGATTTATCCATTCTTCTTTCACAGCGTGAGGCAGCAGCCAGGTCGGGCCGCTCACTTTTCACTGATCAGGTCCGGAGGTTCTTCCTCTTCTGATTCTTGCTGGACCCTTTGTGTTTACTGAGATTAACCTTTTTATCAGATAGCTTAGCAGAGATACAGTAGCAGAATCAAATATTAAGAATAGAGTAGAGAACAAAACCAAAGAGCAAAATCCTTATTGTGTTGTTCTATACATCACATCAACTGTTAATTGATTTTTTGTACGCTTGAGTGCCATTTTGGTCCCAGAGTATGTGGTGGAATTAGGAAGGGTACAAAAAAAGTTGAGTTGAATTGTCAGTTATGAACCAGCTTGTGTAAAAGGATAATTTAATATACTCTTCATTCTGGAAATTAGATTATTAAGTGGAGTGTGGCAGAGGTCTGTAAAGTAATAAGTAGCACTAAAAAGATGATGTGAGCGGGGACAAATTTTTTCTTCCTCAGACAAGAGCTAGAGGACATCATATGAGGCTGTTGGTAGAGCAGGCAAGTGGAGATTTTTTGAAGTTCGCAGCTTTGAAACGGCACTGGAGATTTACTGTCTATGATGATGATGAACCAAATTTATAGTTTGCTTCTAGACCCCTAGCATTAGCCCTTGTACCTGCAAATTCCCATCGTTACAGTCCTACTGGGAAAATTGACACCACTTTTTTTTAAAAAAAAGAAGCCTGAACAGAACAAGACCTCTTGGAATGGCTTGTAGTAGTACTTCAGTTGACCAGTAAACAAAGTCCAGAAGACACTGTGGCTTATCATGAAGGCTGTGTCTTTTCCTGGCTAACTCAGACAGTAACATAAAAGAGATCCTGTAAGCAGCGTTCTGTAAGCAGTAGTCATCTTAACATGTGCTAATGTGTAACAAGAGATGCTATATTTTTGTGGAGGTTTACTGAGAATTGGTAGATTGCCTATACATTGTGTTCAGTAAGACTTATTTTTTTAAAGTACTGGTATACTCTTAATTCACTGCAGTGTTGGTGTGCACCTGTATGCTAGTCTTGTCTGGATTTTCTGGGTGTGCATGGTTTGATCAGACCAGTGTTTCAATGCACTAATGTGATTGCAAAGTGTCTGACACTTCTAGGCAAATACACCAAATCTTTGCATCCTTTGCAAAATACATCTGCAATCTTTGCTTGGTAACAGTGCAGAGTTGAAGATGTGTCTGAAGAAGTCTCAGATGTTTAGAGAGTAGCCCTTTGTGAAAATCGTTGTACAGTGGTGGTTGTCCCTTCCTCTCATTCATCTCTTTCCACAGCCTTCCTTGAGATCTATTCCAATTTGAATACCTACCTCATGAACCCAGGATTTCTTAAATAAATACAATAAATGTGAAATGTGGTATCCAAGAAAGTTACCTTGATTTCTTCTGTTAAGATTTTGTAGATGGTGCTAGAAATAACATACATTACAATTCAAAGTAAATTCTATTTGAGATTAATTTGTTATTCTTTGTGTAACTAATTGTGCAGCGAATATTGCCATAGACTTTCTTGCAAATGCTTATTCCTTTTTTGCTGCAATGTTACCTCATTCTAGTACTTCCATTAATTATAAAACAAAAGCGATTGCATTGCTCAGTAGTAAACTGCTGTGACAGAAAGGTATGGTTTTGTTTTACTATCCTATGTTGTCATTCCCACATAAATGAAGCAGGTGATAGTTCCCAAACTTTTTTAGTTACTGAAGTTGGCATATGTGTGAAGTGTAACTAACCTGGATGGAAAGTAACATGGCTGGTTAAACACAGTAATCTTTGTAATAAGCTTCTGGATTTTTTAGTTTATTCTTTGGAATTCTCTTTAGTGATGCAGTATAAGAAGTCTGACAGATAACATTCTATATGGCTGAATTGGGGAGGGGGTTTGTGTAGTTAGGCATGTCAGGAACAGCAGAAGATTGTAACAGGAAACAATGGTGTTGCTTTATTTGGAAAAGTAACTGTTAAAAAAAATTCAGACTTCATACAGACTGGAGAGCCCTCTTGTTATCACTTGACTAAAAAGTGTTTATACAATACTGATCACAAAAATAATTCTGATCAGTTTTATTGTCAGTAAAATAGCTAGGATTCAATCATACAATTTTTATCAGCATAGGTTGATTTTCAGCTTTCACATTCAAAAGTCTGATACATCACTAATCAAAAACGAACAGATACTAAGATGCTGAAATTTTGGATGACTTCCACGAACGCTAAAATACTGCTTTATGCAACATTGCTTGGTTTCCTGCAAATTTGTTTTTTAAGTAAAGATATTGTAAAAAGCTCTTAAGTATAGCTTCTGCTTCTTCTAGTATAGTAGAGTCCTATTGAAATGCAAGGATATGAGTCTGTTGATATAATTAAGGCTGGCTGTGAAACTTTTAGACTGTGAAGCAAAAATTATACCCAACTGGATTGACACATTTCCTCAGTATGGTATTTAATTGTGGAGTTTTCATGTTGCAGTAACACGTAGCCTCTTTTGCATATAATTTCCTGGATCTTTTCAAAAGGACAAAGAAACTTAAATATTTCCCTACTTCTTTAATGCTTACAGGTCCCCAACGAACAGCTGCTGTCTGTAAATAAATAATAAAATAAAGTCAGCCAAAGGTCAGCTATTGTCTATTAAAATTTGAAGCCAATTGTACAGCCCCATGTAGTACACTGTCTGGGATCCATACTTAACAGCTTTTCTTCAGAATTAATTACTTTGTCGTACAAAGGTGGTGCAAAGAAGAGTTTAAACTGTGTGTTTTAACATTCATATGTCCATGGGATTACTTAAAATTGGTTCCAACTTGAGGTCAGACTGCAGCTTGAAGTGTATGTATCCGATGTCAGACTTTATAGTTTTTTCAGCTTGTAGCAACAACTCAAAAACTGAGGAATATAGTTTTAATGTAGATTCTGTGTCACCTTCCGTTTCCGTTTTTCTTCTCAATGTCAGCTTTAAAAACAGATATACAAAATAATCCTTAGATGATTTCTAAAGACATGCTAGCTCCTGTAGCAATTCCTTGGTGAGGACTATGGGAGTCATTAGTGGTTTGTGAAGGTGTCCTGTATTTACTAGAGAGTGGTTTTGAAAAAACAAGAGAAATTCATAGTCAGCACCTGAGGGCGGGGGGGGAGTTAAAATTGCTTTCTAACTCTCTGATCAGATATTGAACCTGTAATTAATTGAGCAGTTAATAGAGAAGATGTAGGACCTGTGTGATTTAACTTGAAAAGTTAACCTTCATTTTTGTTCCTACTAAGCAATTTGGAATTTATCCAGTGATAATTTATTAAGTATTCTATGAACTCTTGTGAAATAAACATTTTCCATTTTATGAATAACTTACTGTGATCTCTTGATTCTTACAATGCAAAATGATTTAACAGATTTTTAGGGAAGAAAGGTTCTACATATACAATATCATCTGCTCCTAGACTGCTCGTAACAGACCTGTACTATAATATTCCAGGTGCTTTGTTTGTCAGACTCTAGTCTTTTTCTTTCACTAAACAAAGTTATTTTTTTCAGCATTGTTAAGGTATTTTTTAACAGTAATATTTTATTGGGCAAGGTATTTTTTAACAGTAGTATTTTATTGGGCAATTTTACTAGGTTTGTTAAATATTGTCACTTCTGGTTCGCCCTGACCACCATCTTCATTTTTTTAAAGCCTGATGTTCTTGCTCCTTACTAAAGCATTTCTTTTACTTGAGTATTGTACACACAGTAGTACCTTGCATTTTGCCTTTTTGTATGTTAACTAGCTTTTGGGTTAGAGACGGGTTTAATTTATCCATTTAATTTTGCTTGTAATTACGTATCCATTTTCTCTTTATATAGACAAAAAAATAATTTTTTTTCTTTAATGGTTATCTGCATCACATGCTTTCCCTTTTTGGCAAAGACATGTTTACCCATATGCAGACTTTTAGCATACGTCACAACTAAAATGAACTCCATGAAAATCATAAAAGCTGCCTGCATTGAAACAAAGCTGATTTGTTAGCTGTTTTGTGCCAAGAGCTTTTTGAGGTGTAGGTTCGGAATTTGATCAGGTTACATGGTGGTTACAGTCTAATGATAATTAGTAACTGAGTAAATTGCAATGTCTGTGAAAGTGATGTCATTCTAAAGTAACTGGTTTGTGGGTTTTTCTTCCTCAGTCTTACGATAACGGCCTAGCACAGGGAGCTGGACTGGAATCTCATGGTAAGAATGTTAAAATGTTCTATGCCTGTTTTTTTGAAGACTGAGATTGAAAATGCTGTAAGAAGTGCAGGCTATGTCATGCTTTTCCTTCTTTTCTGATTTTAAGGAAGTGGGATGAGGAGGAGTAAAGCCAAAACATGCCTCAGAATATCATCTGCCTTCTTGCCTTAGTTTCCAGCATAATATCAGACAAGATGAGCTCTTAATATATCGACTCCATTAATCTCACCTCATGAGTGTTTTGTTGAAAGTTGTTGGCTGACACAGCAAACTTTTTCCACACCTGCTATTGCTACTCTGTGGATTTATCTGCAAGAGATTTTGTGCAATCCACTTGATAATCTCCAATTTCAGCAGCTATTAGTAAACCTAGAAACATTTAATTTGGTACATTGCAGCATCCATTAGGGGCTCGAATCTTGAAGCAGCGGTTAATTTTTGTAAACAGTTGGTAGTTGTGAGGATAGGAATTCCCAAGAGACTAAACAAGATGTTTCTATGCCATGAAGTCGTGGTCTGCTTTTGACAAGAGAAACTATTGACTGTTACGTGACTCATACTAAATCTGTCAAATGTTTGCTAGCTTTATCCTTAGTATTGAGGTTTGATAGGATTCCATCTGTTTTCTTCCTGCAGGATGGATAAAGGTAAAAAACTTAAATTATACCTCTACATATTTAAAAAAAGAGTTAACTATAAATCACTGTGGAATGCTAGTGATAACAGCATTACTTCAGCTTCCTTCTGCTCCATTTCAGCATCAGAATAAAAATAACCTTAGTGTTCCTGGGGTCATCTAGCACCGGGTTAGCAGGAAGAAGTGTGGGCCCCAAGTCTTACAGTTTTTGTCAGGCTGTAATTTTATTGTATCAAGTTGTAGACTCAGAATTAATTTTGGGCTTTAAAAAGTGGTGGCTGTGATACACAGACAGAGAACATGAGTTTCTTTTCTAATTCTAAATTTTACCTTGCAGTTTTCTTGACAACAAAATAGAAGTTTAATTTGTGCTTATTATAACCATGAGAATCTAACGGTCTTCTCATAGTATTAACAATGCCATTTTTTTTCTTAATTTTTGGTTTTTTTGCTTTCTGCTCATCAGACACTTCTGTCTGTTTATGTCCTCAGAGGGGTTGTGTCTGAGACTGCCTTTGGCATCTCTGCTTCAGTCTGGGCATCCCAATAGCTTTCTTTTTTAAGTTACATATGAAGAAATGTTTTCTGTTGCATTGCAGTTTACTTATTTCCGGACCACTGTGTAATGTAAGTTGCACAGCATCGAGAAGCAGTCCATCTTTAAGAAAATTAATTCAGGTTTATTTTTGCAAGTTGGATTGAGGTTTTATTTTCCTTTTGACATACATGCTGAACTAAAATGCTGTTATTTATTTGGATTTTAGACTTAAAATTAACACTTCATGCTTTTAAAAATCTATTGATTTAATTGATTTAATTGATACTACCTTAGTCTCAATTCTGACTGAGGTCATACAGGCTTCAGTGAAAATCTGGGTATCAGAACGTTGCAAAAACAACTCTCTCTTCACAGGTGGCTCTACATTTTGTGGTATTGCATCACTGTGTTTGATGGGTAAACTAGAGGAAGTTTTTTCAGAAAAAGAACTGAAGAGAATAAGAAGATGGTGCATAATGAGACAACAGAATGGCTACCATGGACGACCCAACAAACCTGTAGACACTTGCTATTCCTTTTGGGTGGGAGCAACATTGAAGGTACGGTGCAGAACAGCTACAGGATAGTTATTGACTTGTTTTGATTTCTTTAAACATCATGTCTTTTCTTTGCTTGAAAGAATTACATATTTGGCTCAAGTGCATGCATATGCACACATCACTATAAATGTCTGTCGTCTTGCAAAAATGCAGGATATGGAGGTTTTCCATATTAGTACTTTCTCTGCTATCACTGCTTATGTCATAAATAGGTACTATATTTTAGTATTAAAAATATACTCAGATTTAGTATATTACTGTAATGGTCTATTTTCTTTTCAGCTCTTGAACATATTCCAATATACAAATTTTGAGAAAAACCGAAATTACATCCTGTCAACTCAAGATCGCCTTGTTGGTGGATTTGCCAAGTGGCCAGATAGCCATCCAGGTAGATTTACTTTGCAAAATTGTGGTGAGTGTGTTCTAAGATGGAAATACATTCCACCAGTCAGTGTAAAGGAAGTTTTCTCCTCAGTTGCCTTCAAAAAATGGAAAGAAAAAACCCTTAAAATATAATGAGATTTTCATTATTTTTGTGGAAAGAGGGAGGTACAGTTTTCCCTTGTTCAGCCACAGAGTGAGCAAGCTATTTTTGTTTAGACTATCGCTGAAAGAGTATCACTGCTGAGTTAGAGCTGGACAGACCTTTCAGTATGTGTTTAACTGTTCTAGTTAAAGGGAATATTGTGCAGTGGGAATCTTTGTAAATTGTCTGAGTGAAGTATTTAAAAACATTTGTTTCCTTAATAGAGGAATTCTTTAAGCTTATTCAAAAGTCATTCATGTCTGTAAACACAGTCAAAGTTTATCTGTTTATGTATTATGATTTACAGGTTATAGTTACATATAGCAGTTATACCTAGTCTATCTGAATTTATTATCCTTTTGGAAGTGGATAATTTGAAGTAGTGAAAAACTTGAAAAGAAGCTGAAGTATTTTCATTGGAAATATTTTTAAAAGATACTAGAATTCAACGAAGGTATTGCAAACTCGTGAAAACAAACCTTGTGCCAGTAGTGTTGCCCAGTGGCATTTTTTACAGGGAAGATAAACAGTCTGTAAACTGACCAAATAAGATAAAAAACTAATCATAATAAAGGATGAGTCTGTTCAGAATCTGTGCCCTGATATTTCTTCCTTTCATCATTTTATTTTGAACAACAATTAAGAATTTTTCAAGGTGGACCCACGCTGAAAACACAGTGCTTGTGATAGATACTCTCCCCCTACTGCCCTGAAAACTAGATTAGGATTCCTGAGAACTTAGCTGTGTTTACACTGCATTATATAGATCAGTCAGTATCACTTGGAGGAAATACTTCTGCTTATCTTGATGAATCATTTACTTAGAGAGCTAGGAATTAAAAAATCTGTTTAAAAGTCCAGTCATGTTCAAAGTTCTTTAACCTGTCTTTTAGCATAGCTGTGATTGTTTGAGATAAGTTTTCAGAAAGACAAGACTAATATAGAAGCTGTTTTCCTCTGATCTGTGTGGTGTTGCAGCTGGAACCCTGCTGTTTCCTACAGAGCAAGCGTTTGCTGTCTCTTTAGTTTTGTTGTGATAGGTGGGCTTATTGCAGCATTCTTTCCTCAGGCAGATGATGACATAAATCTGTGTTCATGTTTTGAAGGAAAGAG